GGGGGGGGGGAGTACACGGGACTATGGTGATGGCACAGGGGTGACTTGGTGATGGGAAACCCACGGGGATTATAATTGAGATGGAAAAAAAGGACAAAATGATGTAAAAATAAACTATTATATTATTTTTAAAAAATGTGAATAAGAAAAAAGAAAGGAAATGTGAATGTGGAATTGAAGCTACTTGAAGGGTGCGTGAGAAGTTAGAGGACTACAGATGCTTTGATGGTGGGGTGGGGTAGTGATGTATATCTGAAGCTGTAAACTTACACCCCTAAATCATACAGTGTTGTAAACCAATGTTATATCAATATAAAATAATACAGTTTAAAATATATGTGTGTAAAGTTTTATGAAATAAAAAAAAGATCCTGTCCCGGGCCCAGCGAGGGAGATGGACCCAGAGATCGGGATCTGCCCCCACCTGAGGCGCCCTGGGCCTGCTCCACCCTGTAGCCCCTACCAGATGTGCCCCTGGCGGGGGTCCCCAACCCGCCCCCGCCCCCCAGCCCACACACCTGCGGAGCCCGTGCAAGTCTGTGAGCTCCCCGAGCTTCTGCCTGACAGACTCCACGTTGTCCAGGTCCCTGGGGCAGAGACGCGAGCGGGAGGCACCGGCACCCGGGGACCAGCCCAGCTGCCCGCACGCCCGCCAGCCCCGTGGACGGTCCTGTCCTTACCACATGTCCAGATGAAAGCTTGAGCTGCTTATGTCCTCGAACTCCCTGCAGGGGGAAGGGGCTCGGAGTCTGGGGGCGCCGGCTAGGCGCCACCTGACCAGGCCACTGGTCACTCCTGCCCAGAGCGGCCACCCCTCCCAGCACCCAGCCTCCTCCACGGCACTTGTCCTAGTCCTGCTGACCCCTGCCCGCCCCTGCCTCGGAGCTGGCCCTTCCCGGGCCAAGCCCAGGCGCACCCCTCTGGCGAGCCAGGACGGCCCCCCCCCCATGGGTGGCCCCGCAGGTGAGCTTACGTACAGGATGAAGGTCTCCTCCCAGACGGGGTTGAGCGTCTGGGTGATGACCTGGGTGCGGTGGGTCTGCTCCTCGGGGATGGTGTGCTTGACCACGGCCTTCTGCCGGCGCCGGGACCCCGGGCTGCCCGCGAGCACGCCCGTGCCCTGCTCAATGCCCAGCAGGCAGTAGGGGTCACTGAACCCTGGGGAGGCGTGAGGACAAGGCAGCCAGGCCATTGGCTGGGCTCCAGGAGGCCCCTCTTCTCCCGAGGGAAGAGAGGGGCTCCCAGGTCAGCCCGCAGCACCCCGTGAGTGGGGTGGGGGAGGGGCGGGGGCGGGTGCTTGGGAACCAGGAGCAGGGGGCAGCTCAGGCCAGGGGCCTGGGAGGGGCCGTGATGGGGAGGAAGGAGCCGGGAGAAGGCCTGGGAGCCCAGCCCCGCTCACCACTGACATCCTTGCCCAGAATGCCCTTGGCCTGTTTCACCGTGGCCTTCAGACAGAATACTGGCTTCTGTGGACAGGAGACCTGAGTGCTGGGGGGCGGGGCTTCCCAGGCCCGCCCTGCCCAGGCTGGCCCTGGACCAACTTGTTACCTGGAGCGCCTGGACCCGCTGCAGCAGCTGCTGGTGCTCCCCAGACTCCATGTGGAAGGCCTGGTGGGTGGGAGAGCGGAGGAGGCTGGAAGTAGCCCACATCCCAGATGGGTGGGGGTGGGGTGGGGGCTGGGCTCACCTCCTGCAGATATTGCAGCAGCTCGGAGGCCTCCGTCACGTGGTTGGGCTCAGGCTGACCCAGGCGGTGCAGGACGGTGTAGACAGCTTCCTCATAGAGCAGGGCCCGCTGGGACACAGCGGGGTCACCGCGGAAGCCCGTCCACCCATGGCAGACCTGAGCCCCCTGGCCACTCCCACCCACACCACAGCCCAGATCCAGACCCAGCACCCACAGGTGCAGGGACACCCCACTCCCAGGCTGCAGCCATCAGCCTTGGCCAGTAGCCAAGGCGGGTGTCATAGGAGAATGCCAGGCGGCACCCCAGCACCTGCCTGCCCCCACACCCATGCCTACCTCCTCGGGGGACAGGTGGTGGGATGGAGGCTTGATCTGGAGAGTGAGAGGAGACAAGCTTCCTGGAGCCTGGGGCGGAGCAGGCCGGGCCACAGCCACAGCAGCACAGCGGCCAGCCTCTGGCCCCTCACCTGTTCGCACAGCAGGCCTCCGGGGGGGCTGGGCCCCACTGGGGGCTCCTCGCACCCCGGTGCACCCCCTGGCCTGCCATGGCTGGCGTCCATGGGCGCTCAGGGGCCCCACAGCTGAGATCTCGGCGCTCACAGCCCCAACCTCCCTTCCTTCCCCAGAGGAAACTGCTCTTATCATCGCCCAAGCTCACACCCCAGCGGCGGAAGTGAGGCCCAGCAGTGGAGGTGGGAACCCGGGGACAGCCGAGCAGGCCTGGGGCTGCACCTCTGGCCCCCCGAGCGGCCAGGCCCACCACAGGGCGCCCCCCGCACTGATGACTGGAGCCGGAGTAGCTGTGGGCCCCCTGAGAGGAGGGGCCTGGGGGCGCAGACCCCGGACCCGAGGCGCGGGGACCACCTGGCAGACCCTGCTGCCCTGCTGCCCTAGCGGCTGGGGAGGCAGGAGGACCCACAGCCTCACCAGCAGCCGGAGAGGTGGGGCTGCGCACCCCGAGGCCGCAGAGCCCCACCCAGCCTGGTGTGGTCTCCCCACTGGGGCACACCTACCTCGCGCGCTCCTGCTGGGTGCTGGGGCTCTTCACTGGCTCTGCGGCGCCTTATCTTGATGGCCTGGCGCAAGGCGGGCAGGCGCCTCAGCGAGTGGGAGAGGGGCGTCGCCATGTTGGCCGGAGCCGCCTGCCCGCTGAGGCCCGAAGATAGTGAACCACAGGATTATGCAAAGCGCCCAGGGCTGCCACCCCGTGCCAGGGGAGGGGAGATGGCAGCTGTGGGGTGGAGGCCAGGGTTTCACCACTTCAGGGCCCGGCACCTTCTCCCTCTGGCCCCCGGGATCCTGTTGGGATCTCTCCAGACTGGAGGCAGGAGGGGCCTCCTGGGCGGGGTCGGCCACACCCGACCTGCCCACTGGGAGGGTCCCAGGCTCCCCGGCGACAGCGTGTCCACCATGGTCCTGCCCCATCTCAAGTCCCCCGCCCAGCTGGGCTTGGATGGAGGAGAGACACTTGGCACCATGGGGGTTCACACCCACAGCTTGGGATGGGGGTAGGTAGGATGGGGGTTCGAGGGGCGTCCCGCAGCGGGCAGCCAAATGCAGGACCAGCTCAGCCTGCTCCACCCCACAGGTGACATTCCACTGAGGTGACGGGATCAGCAGGTGACGGGACCAGGACAGGACGGCCCTTTGCCCCGCCCGCAAGGGCGGCCAGGAGGGAACTCCCTCAAGCGTCCTTGTGGAGGATTTGGTCAAGCCCGCGGCTCCTGGGCGGTGCCGGCCAGAGGAGGAAGCTGGGAGATGCTGCTGTTGGCCTCTGGATAGGGTGGCTCGTCCGAGGACAGGGAAATGGACGCTCCACTGTCTCAGCTTTGAGACCGACGGGTGCCCCACCCAGGGCCTTCCTGCAGGCCAGGGCGTTTGACACAAGCTATGCAACTTCTGTCGACTGACATATTCGAGATAGAAAAGGGAAAGCTCCGGAAAATCAGACTTTCCACGCTCACCCATTTATGACCTCCCTTTCTTGTATAACCGTACTATCAAAATATTCTGACTGCCTCAGCCGCATAAGGCGCTGCCTGGCCCAGGCAAGCAGGCGCTGCCCCAGGGCGAGGAACTCCTGAAGCCAGAGTGATCTTACAATTGGCTGACTGATAAAGCAATTTGCTGCTATAGCAAAGTTAATATTGAGGCAGTACTGGAACTCACGCTTTTCCTGCCCCGGGCTGGAGAACCCAAATCTGCCATCCCACTTAGGCTTTTATTCAGTTTCTAAAGAACTACTTAAACTTTCTACCCTCGAGTCTTTAGACAAGGAAATTCACCCAAGTCTTCTATTCAGAGTTAATTAGGTTTTCTACTGCCTAGACTTCAAGGAAATTCACTTAAGCTTTCTAACTAGTTTTCAAAGAACCTCAATGTGTTTTCTTTTGTGATTTGATTTACAGGAAAATTTCCTCTTCCTGCCCTCACTTTACTTTACCCCCCAGGCTATCTCAATGAGAATGAAAGCTGTTAAGTAGTAGTTAAGGTTTTAGGGACTTTATTTTGGTTAATCTTCACTGTGGTAAATATAGTAATATTAGTCTTAAATTTTGTGAATCTTATGTACCTGTTTTAACCTTGACAGAATGATTTTAATAATGTTATAATCTCAAGGTCAATACGACCCCAGACTATTCTTAGAAAAAAGATGATCATAATCTCAGCCCAATTCATATGCTGATGCCATCCCTCGGCTTGCTTGAAATGTATAAAGTAAACCTCTGCTGAGGCCAGAGCAAGAAGACCTGCACCCAACTCTGACTCGGTTATCTTCCTCACGCCCACCTCCCTTTCCCCTCCATTTTTCGGATCATCTGCTCGCTGACGTCGCTCCCACCTTAAGGCCCTGCCTGTTCTGCCCCCCAACAACCTGGGATCAGGGCATGTCCGCAACAGACTTTGGCCGTTGCCACCCTCCCAGCCAGGCCTCCCCCCCACCAAGGTCCTCAAGGAGGGCAGCTGCTGGGCTGGGCATCCAGGGGCCCTCCAGCCACCCCCCACCGCACAGCCAAGCCCCAGGGCACTCGCAGACGGCTGTGTGGCTAAGCAATGGCCCAGAACTGGGGACAGAAAAGTCCTTGGGTCTCCTGAGAGCAAGTGGGTCACGGAACAAGGGTTCTGCCCTGGGGATGTGGGACCAGCAGGCAGTCAGGCAGGGTCGGGTCGCTTCCCTTTTACTACTTCACATTTCCCGCAAACAAGTCAAGGTGCAAATGAGGTTTATTTCACATTAATACATTAAGTGGAATTTTTTGTCAAATAAATAGGGAATTCTCTTTAAATAACCATCTCCTCACTGCACAGCCAGTCCAGGAGCAAATGAGAGCAAACGTGACTGCATCCAAGGGGCTCATACCAACCGGCGTGAAGCTGAAGGGGCGGAAGGGAAGGCGAGGGGTCAGGGTGGGCGCACAGGCCTGGCAGGGCCCAGGGGTGTGGGGCCTGGTTCCCACCCACCCAGCAACCCCCAAGTGGCATGAAGGGGCAGGCATGCACGCTCCAGTTCCAGTCCAAGAAGTCCCTTCTATCGGGAACAGAGAGAAGGCAAAGGGAGACAAGTTCCAGAAACAGCAGCAGGGAAGCCACAGCGCCCGGTTGCCCAGCAGGGACGAGTGACCAGGGCCAGGCAGGGCTGGAGAGGGATGGGGCTGCAGATGGAAGGCAGGAAGGCAGGGCTCCCCGGAGGGCGGCGGAGGGAATGTGAGCTGGGGCGCAGGGCCCTGGGGAGCCGAGTATAAAGTGGCGGCCGAATGGGAGCTGGACTGCAGGAGGTGGCCAGAGAGTTCCACCACGGGAGAAGCTCCTGGAGCAGAACAGGAAGGGGGCCACCCCTGCTCCGAGAGCCCCAGAGATGGAGAGGGAAGTGCGCCGAGCAGCGCCGGGCTCCGTGCCAGCATGGGAGGCTGGGTGCACCCGCGGCAGGGGCCCCAGCTCCCCTCCACGCTAGTTCCTGTAAGTGTTTTATCACCAGACCTGCGGAGAACAAGTTCTCCCTTCCAGCACCCCCAGCCCAGGCTCGGCCCCGAGGAAGGATGATGGAGCACGAGCGCTGGGAGAGGCGCGGAGGGTCTACTGGGTCTTCTTATCTTCCGGGGGGTAGTAGGGGGGTGGCGGAGGCTGGTTCTAGAGATGCAAGGGGGGAAAGATCATGTTGGGAGGTTCAAAACAAGCCCCGGCTCCCCAGCCCTAAACCCCCGCCACTGTGGGGCAGCGGCCCCGCCTCGCCCCTTACCGTGGGCACGTAGACGCTGTGAGGGTTGCCAGGGTTGTAATAGGCGCTGGCAGCCGCTTCCGCCGCCTTGGCTTCGGCTGAGAGCACAAACATACCCGTGAGCAGAGCCCGCTGCCCTCCCCCTGGCTGCGCAGGGCCGCGCACCCCAGCAGCCTGGCCCTCTGCGGGGGGTGGCCAGCGCTGAGGATCCAGGTCCAGCCGTGAAGCAGCAACCAGAAGTGTCCGGGCTCGTCCCGTGTCCTCCACTGGCTTTTCCAGGCCCATGACACGCCCCCGCCCAGCCTCACCCTGACCTCACCAGGCTGAGGGCCAGGCGGGGCCCGGCAAGGCCCTCCCCTGAGGTGGCCACAGACCAAGGACCGTTTAGCATCTGGGCCCCCCCCCCGTGCAACTTGGGGGAGTCTGTCCTGAGACAGCCAGCAGCCCAGGCCCTCACCTGCGGGAGTGGAGGGGACATCAGGGCCGCTGACTGGAGGCTCCATGGGCCCAGGGTAGGGCGGCGGTGGGGGCTGCACATATCCCATCGCCCCGTCCATCATGGGGGGTCCCGGGTAAAACTCTGCTTGGCGAGAGACAGGGACCCGTGAGCAGCTCAGCCCACACCTTCCGAGGCTTCTCTCCAGCGGCTCCGTCAGCCTGCCCCTGGCCTGGGTGGGGTGGTTACTGGGTAGGTGGGTGGGGAGCAGAGGACACTCACCAGGTGGGGGCGGTGGGTAGGGGTAGCCGGGAGGGCAGGGGTACATTCCATTGGCGACTGGCGGGGGGTAGACATAGGCCCCGCCGGGCACGTAAGAGTACCCGTAGGCTCCATTGGGGGCTTCACCTCGGGAGGCTACAAGCACAAGGGGAGAGAAGTGAGTGTCGCCTGCCAGGGGCTGGGGGAGGGCAGCCCCGCCACTGGTGGGGGCACCGCAGAGCCCAGGGAGGTGTAGTGGACACCTCCCCTCGCCCACGCCCCACGCAGCCACGCTGAGGCAGCCTGCGCGGGGACCAGGCCAAGGGCTGGATGGGAAGAGAGGTCAGCGCTGGGCTGGAGGTCAGGGCAGCCTAGGGGCCGGGGTGAGGAGGGGCGTGGCTGGGCGCGGGTGATGGCCGCAGACACGCCCCTGGGGCCGCTGTGGGCCAGGGGCACCCAGGTTTGGGCTGTTTGGCTTTCTGAGGTCTCAATAAACGTCTGGAGTCCAAACAGCTTCGCAAAGGGTCCCCTGCCTGCTCCGGGCCGGGAACCCAGAGCCGGCGCCAACTACAGGCCACCCTGCACCCCGAGCGCTCAAGACACTGGCCACACACAGTCCGCGGCCCCCACATTTTCAGCCTGGTACCTTGCGACGCCACCTGCAGCATGCGCTGCCCGAACTCGATGGCGCCCCCTGCCGTGAAGGTCAGCTTGTAGGCTGCGGAGCCCTCCCAGCCGCCTGCGAAGGGAAGCGGAGAGAAACCCGCTAAGGCTGCGCCTGGGGGGCCAGGGAGGAGCCAGCTCTGTGGCGCCTGCCCGCCGGCGCCCAGGGCTGGCCAGTGTGGCCACCTGCTTCTTGCCGGTGCCTGTTTGACCCTCTGGAACGGGGCTTCTCCTTCCTACAACAAACCTGTGCTCCCACCCCCCAGGCGTGGGGGACGCTCAATAAAGCAACAACTGATGTTCAAGCCCAGAGCATCTCTCTCACCTAGAGGGGAGCCGCGAGCTCCCCAAGCAGCTCACGTGGCTGCTGCAGGGGGCGGGGAGTCCAGCACTGCCCTCTGGGTAGCCCAGAGGGGCAGCGGGCTCCCCCGGACTCGGGGAAAGGACTTCTTCCCAGAACTGGCAGGCGGCGCCGCCCCGCCGCATGGCTGAGCGCGTCCCCAGTCACAAGGCGCCTCCTGCCTGAGCCGGTGGCAGGCACCCCGCTGCCGTGTACCAGCAGCCCCAGTTCCTGGCAACCGGAACCCACCTCTGCTCACAGGGCCGCAGCCCCGGGCTTGTCTTGGAAATGAACCCAGAGCCAGGAGGACGACAAGTCTGAGGGGCCGAGGCAGCCGTCACGGGCGCCTCAGGGCACCTACAAGCCCCCATCACCCACCTCCTGCTTCGGCCTTCACTGTGCCCTTGACGTAGTTGGCGCCGAACACAGGCTGCTTGATCTCACAGTCCTTCATCAGGTAGAAGGGCATCATGAACGACTGCATGGCGTCCTTTCCCTTGGACAGGAAGATGACCTGCAGAGGGCAGGGGCGAGGCTGTCACCTCCTGCGGGGGCCAGCACCCCCAGGGCTCCCAAGCACCGGAGACTGGGAGGGGCTGGACAGCAGAGGCCCGGGACAGCCTGGGCGGAGGGGCAGATGCGTCTTCCGGACACTGCGCTGCCGGGACAGCACGCGAGGGCACGCTGGTCCTGCCAGGGGTGGGGAGGTGGCAGCGAATGTGCTGGAAGAAGGGGCCTCTGGGAAGTGGAGCCCCAGCCTGGCGGAGGCGGGACGGCCGGCGTGGCGGGCATCAGGTCCCAGAAGGGGGCTCCACACCTTCCCACGCTCCGGCCTCAGTAGTGACGTGTCCCCCAGCCCACACTCGGCGACCTCCTGTCTCCAGCCCCCAGTTCCCATCTGCGGCTGAAGATGCCAGCATGACCCACTGGAGACGGGCTTCGAGGCTGCTGTCTGCACTGAGTGCGAGGACCCCAGCCTGAAGGTGCCCCTGCGTGCCGGCCATCACCAGGCCCAACTCTTGGGGAGTTACAGGCCGCAGTCCTTTTCCAGAAGATTCCCCTGTGTTTCTCCGATGGCTCTGGAGTCTGTGCAGGCGAAACTCAGGCCCATTCTGCTGCCTGGCACTTCTCGCTCTGCAGGGTTCTGCTGGAGTCTGCCCAGCCCCGAGGCTGGAGCCAGCAACTGTATCCTGCCTGCCCCTCTGCACTCTCAATGCCCACAGGGGCTGGGGTTACCCCTGGACAAACCAGGCGGCCACAGCCTGTCCACCCCGGGCCAGGGCGTCCCAGCAGCTGCACCCAACAACAGAGACTATGCAGCAGCAGCCGCACTGGGACCTTCGTGAAGCCACCGCCCAGCGGCCCTGAGCCCCAGAGCACACGTGGAGAGACATGTGGGACGAGGTGCTAACACTCCCCAGGGTTCAGAGGTCACTGGACTCACGAGGCTGATGCTGGCCAGACTCACGTCACCCCCGGGGCCCCCAGCCTCCCCAAATGACCCCCGCAACTCACCCGGTAAGGGGTAAGGTAGACGGTGCCTTTCTTGGTCCCTTTGAAGGCCTCGGGCACATTCTTCATGTCATTAAAGGTAAGTTCCACGTGGTCATAGGACATCAGGATGCTGTGGGAGAGCAGAGGCCTGATGAGACGCGCGGACACGGGCCGCTCGGTGCCAGGCGCCCCCAGCTAAGGGCTCCTCGCAACAACAGCGACAGGCTTCGAGGACAATTCACTCGTTCACAAACAAGAGGAGCAGGTTGAAATGGACAGAACCCCCAAGCCCCCTCGGCCCAAGCGCCCTGTGGAATAAGAGCAGCCTCTGGAGAGCCCTGATTCCCCAAACCAGGTTACAGGAGATGAGTCAACACTCTGTTCTCTTCTGAGCCCACTGAGCCCGTGACAGGTGTTCTCTTCACGTGGGCGTGTTTTTTAAGCCTGGTCTGTACACACTCCAAGACCCAGCTCTAGGCGTCACCAAAGGGCTCACTGGGGGAACGGTTCGGAAACCGGGTCTGCAGGGGTGTCAGCCCGCGAGGCCCGGAGGTGACGGTGTGCCGCTCTCCAGGAGTCTGCAGTGCGCATCACGCTCACGGCGCTCACGACTGGGACTGCGCAGGCTCCCTGCTCTACATGTCAAATGCCAAGCGCTGGGTTCAGTCTCCAAGCACACACACGTCTTCAGGAAAGAGGCTGGCTATGACACGCGGCCCTTCGCGGCACCGAGACGGCCAGGCTGGCGGCCCGGCAGGACAGAAGCGCTCTTGTCCCACACAGGTCTTCCAAGAAAAACTCAGTCCCAGGAGATGCTCCTCACTGGCGCCCGGAGGTGCGCAGGCCGAGCCCGCTCGCGGCAGACACCGAGGCAGGGCTAGCGGGGCCTCCGGTGGAGACAGGAAGGCCCGAGTCCACTGGGCTCCCCTTGTCTTCCTCTTCCCGAATGTCACAACTCTCCTCTCACTTGGGCAGGAGAGAGAAGCAGCGGCCTGGAGGCCTGAGGCCAGCACCAGCCCTGGCTGGCCCGGAGGCGAGCAGGTGAGGGAGGGACAGTCAGCATCTAGCAATCGACTTGGGGCCCTGGCCTCCTCTGTGACGCATGAGTACTCCGGGTGCCGGCCCTGGGCGGGGTGCCGGCCTGAGCTGGACGAGGCCCTCACCCCGGCGCCTCTCCTCTGGGGACTATGCTTCTTCCTTCAGGATGGGTGCGGCTCAGTGGGGTGTCTGGTCGGACAAGCTGCCCAGGGAGGGAGTGAACCCTTGGGGAGGACTCGAGTGGGAATGGGGTGGCAGCGAGAACCTGACCATGGAGAGGGCTCTGAGGTGAGACCCCAGCCTACCGGGATGAGGAGGACACAGTGCCAGGAGCCTAAGACGGTCCACAGATGCGTCTACTGGCTCCCACCTCTGTGCCTCAGTTTCCCCACTGGAGAGCAGGCCGGGAACATCTTGGCCATCTGCTGGGAGTCAGGGAAGGGCTCTGGAGGCCTTTCCTGGAATTCCACCTCTGCTGCTTACAGCGCTTTACCTCAGGCAAGTGACGTCACCGCCCCGTGCCTCAGTTTCCCCGCACGGAAGAGGAACCGAACAAGAGTATCGTGACGCAGAGTTTACTGAACCAGACAGAAGCGGGGCCGCGCCGTCGCGATGACCGCGACACGCAGGAAGGGGCCCCTCTTCCGGTCTAAGGCTCTTCCCTCCTCAGTCACCAACTCCAGAAGAGGGGTTCACTCCGAGGGCCTCGCGCCCCGCGCCGTGCCCCGCCCGGCCCAGCCCAC